TAAAAAAAGAGTATAATTGATAAGATTACAGTATGATTATCGCCAATATTTATTTTTACAGACTTCGAGATAAAGATGTGAACGTGCGTAGAACATGCGTCCGTATGCTATCGAATTTAATAATGAGGGAAATGATACGCGTGAAAGGACAGGTTTCGGAATTAGCTCTTTGTGTTATTGATGCGGATGAACAGGTACGTCAAGACACGAAAGAATTTTTCGTTCAACTTGCTCAGAAAGGCAATGCTCTGTATAACATAGTGCCTGATATATTATCGCGCTTAGCGGATCCTGAATTGAATCTCGATGAGAAAAATTTCCAGGAAACTATTAGGTAAATATTGTAACTATTTGTAAGTATTTCGAGAATAATGAAAAATATGAACGCTGCTTTGTTTTAATTTATAGATACATTCTTGGCCTAATGCAAAAAGAAAAACAAATTGATACGATAATTGATAAGATTTGCGCTAGGTTTAAATTAGCTGCTACAGAAAGACAATGGCGTGATCTTTCTTATTGTCTTTCGCTTTTGCAATTCAGCGGAAAAAGTAAGTAAAACAAATTATATTTAATGATTTATTTAAAAAATAATTTTGTACTTTATTTTTTGAAAGGTATACGACGCCTTATTGAAAGTTTACCGTTATTGAAAGAAAAAATTCATTATAAACCAGTATTAATAGCCTTGCAAAATATAATCGAGCAAACGAAAAAAAAGGCAGACACGAAAGCCGCTAGTCTGGAACTGGAAGAGAAAATTCAGGAACTTTTGGAGGCTAAAACAGATAATGAGATAACAGACGAACACTTGATGCCACCACCATCTACCATGCCAAGAAACAAGAGAAATATCCGTCGAAGCAGACGTAAAAGTATTAGCGACGAAGAAGAAGATAGCTCCGATGATGAAAAAGATAGCTCTGAAGAAGATATAGATGATGTTGTCAAAGGTGAATTTGAAATCAATTTCATGAATGTTTTATTATTATTTAATTTATGTGCTTAATTATATGCTATGTGTTTAATGTATTTTAATATTTTATGTTTATAATTATAAACATACATGTAACTATCATATAGACATATATTCATGGAGGCGTTTCACTTTATATTTGAAATTATTTATATTATGAATATTTTATAAAAATTATTTAATACACACTTATACTATATTTACTATACTATACTTACATATTTACACTTATTATAATTATAAAATTAAAAACTTTAAATAACTTTGCATCTATTTTACAGTAAAAAACAGCAAAGAAATATCCAATAATGAAAAGGTCTCTCATGCGAAATCATTTACAAAAGATGATGACGATAGCACTGATGCTATACCAGATACCTCGATGTTTGTAAAACAAGGTATTTATTTTTTTTAAGTTTATTTCTTTTAAAGATTAGTATAATTGAATAACTGATTTTAGAAACAGTTTTTAGTATTTATAGTCACTTCTAAATAAAAATTTTTATTTACACATATGTAAAATTTAATATACATTTATATGTATATAAATAGTGAATTATTTACCAAGAAATTATTGTAAAAACTGATTTTAAAATTTTAACTCAGAAATTTTCTCTCTCTCTCTCTCTCTCTCTCTCTCTCTCTCTCTACTATATATATTATTATATATATATATATA